AACCCACTTTGAGTTTTTCTTCATTACCCATTTAAGCCGTCTCCAGCCATTTTTACTAGATATGTGTTAGTCTTGTATATATAAGACGTTCACAACGTGACGGGTCAACAGAGGTAATGAGTAATTGAACTGCAGTCAGAGTGTGTAATTGAATTGAGTATTGTCGAGCACGTGAGACGTTCTAGCGTTTGTTATAGAGCGACTGTTGAAATTAAGTATATCGGTAAAGTTGTATTCGGAAAGAATAAACTAGTTTTATTTATGAAAGGACTTGTGTCGCTAAAGTTTCGTTGGAACGAATTTACGGGATATCAATTAACAAACGGAGACGTAACAGTGGAAAAAGAAATACATTAAGATGAATGCAACACAAGAAAAACGATTAATTTACTAGATTTTATTTTACAATTCACAAACATGAAATTCACAGGTATATGGCAAAAATTTGGAATAATAAAACATCATTAATATCATACATACAAATAAACGAAAACCTAAATAATACGTAGAAAATCTGTAGTAGAGCTGCTAAATAAGATATATTATTAGTGTATTTCATCTCGAACTCAAGCAATACGTATTGGAAAGCTGCATCCCTAAACTTTTAACTTTCTTTTGTCCATTACTGATCAATCTTTAGCTTCTTTATGAACATCCTTGGCACTTTTGAAAATAATGTTTTCGATAAATTTAAACTTCATGATTGATTAACATTATATCAGTAACGTTATGTTTAAACACATTAAGCAACTGTAAAGCGACATCTAGTACAAAGAAATAAAAGCTAGTTTTAACAGAAGTTTTGTGTTAAATACATAAAATACATCATGTTTATTTATTAGAATTTTGTTTGTCCTTCTTAATAAAAAATACGTATTAATATAACCCTAAACATAACGTGGATACAGTTAGTTGGACTATAAAAATACGTATTAATATAACCCTAAACATAACGTGGATACAGTTAGTTGGACTATAAAAATACGTATTAATATAACCCTAAACATAACGTGGATACAGTTAGTTTGACTATAAAAATACGTATTAATATAACCCTAAACATAACGTGGATACAGTTAGTTGGACTATAAAAATACGTATTAATATAACCCTAAACATAACGTGGATACAGTTAGTTGGACTATAAAAATACGTATTAATATAACCCTAAACATAACGTGGATACAGTTAGTTTGACTATAAAAATACAGAAGATACGTACAAACTATCTCGATTATTGACTAGAAAGAAAACACCTCTCACAAATCCTGAGTACCAAAGGGAGGTAATCGGAGCTTCTTGTTTGTTTTCAAGAAAAACATAACCATTTAAACATGTTTTGTAACGTTATTATAAATATCTCTAAGGTATTATAAGAAATAGTTACTGTACATATAAACTTTAAAAAAAAAAGAATTTAAAATCAAACGCCAGCGCCACCTATGAACTAAACAAGTAATTAGTAAAAAAACACAAAGAAACCTTTTGAGTTCCTGTAGTTTGTGAGATCAAGAGGGCATGAAATGAAAAAAAAAATTATTAGAGAAGTATTCTTCAATTTTGCAAATAAAGTGTTTCTTCAATTCTTGAACGACATTATTACGTTATAGCTGCTGCAAACACACAATAAAAAACAATTAAGATAAATACTTTTTTTAAAGTAATACTATCAAAACAATTCTAGTGGAACCATCATAGAAGAGGTAAATTCTGTTATATTTCTGTCCCGTACATCAGGAATATTGTGTTTGGTATTGTCACATACACATAATATTAACACATTATAACATTATAAACTCTAACCTGTAAAAACAAACCACCATTTTACATCTAAACTCTGATCCAAAACACACTTAAACCTGAAAACAATGTCACAATAAACCCTAATCGCAAATTAAGTAAAAAATTAAAAATAAGTAACTCAGACTTTAAAATCCAACTCAACACTAATACATTCCCAATCTGTAAATACACCTAATATTTCATCTTTCTAGGTATCTTGGACATTTTGGGAGAACAGCTCCACCATCTTGAACTAATACTAATTTCATAGGACTAAAGCAAAATTAAAACGTGAAGTAACAAAAAAAAGCTATATTTGTTCTGACTAGCTCTCTGTCACTGATTTGTTACACATGCTCTCTACATTAGCCATTCCTAATTCTGAATTAAAACAGCTACTCTACAGCGCTCACTGGATGGTGGGATTTGACTGTCACTATTATAACACACCCAAGACCATGAAGCAGCTATTTGTTTCTTCTCGACTCAACAGGACACTATCAATGGACACTAGGATCCATAGCCCGGCATAATCATCATTAGGCCACGCTCGGCCCAAACTCTATGAATGAATCAAACGTTTTTGTTCATATGTAAGATAACTGGCTTTTGTTACGGTTTGGTAATGTTTTATACAAGAAGGAAGATCAATAGGATCACATAAAAGACAATCATCAAAAGGATTGAACACACCTAGTAACAGTGACAGAAAGAGGACAAACAAACTGCATAAAAGACAATCATCGAAATGATTGTTTCTGTTACTGTTACTAGGTGTGTTCATGTGATTTGTTTGTCCCCTTTCCATGATTGTATTTTGGGATTCAACACACCTAG